GGGGGGGCAGGAGGGCAAACCTGGCTGGGGCCACAATGAGGGAGGCCAGGGGGTTCGAGGGGGAACCCAGGGGGGAGGGGAGCCTGAGGCAGGGGAAGCCCTGGGGGGGGCCCGGTGGGGAGCTGGGGGGGGGGCGAGGGGACTGGACTCACACCCAGAACTCAGGGATGGGTGAGCGGGGTTAGCTGCGTGAGGGGGAGCCCTGGGAGGGATAGGGGGGTTTGAGAGGAGATGGGGGGGCCCCAGCGGGAGGATAGGGGTCCCTGAGGGGGGCACGCACTCCCAGAACTCCAGCACAGGCGAGCGCTCCTCGGGCAGGGGATAGGGGTCCCCGAGGGGGGGATGGGAGGTCCTGGGGGGGATAGGGGGCCCCAGGGGAGATAGGGGTCCCCCGAGGGGGGGATAGGGGCCCCAGTGGGAGGATGGGAGGTCCTGGGGGGGATAGGGGTCCCTGAGGGGGTACTCACTCCCAGAACTCCAGCACGGGCGAGCGCCCCTCGGGCTCACAGCTCTGGTTGCCGGCGCAGTCCGGCGGGCGGAAGCTCTCGGCGCACTCGGGTGTGTTCCAGGTGTGGCCGCAGGTGGCCCAGGGCAGGGGGGCGGCGAAGGAGTTGGCCAGGTAGTAGCAGCCCCAGGCCAGCACCATGATGTAGTAGGTGTTGCAGTAAAACACGATCACCATGGAGGCGAAGCCCAGCCCTGCGGGGGAGAGATCGGGGCGGGGTGGGACCTGTCCCCTCTGGGGGGCGCCGGCTCCGACCCGGGGGGCGAGGGGATCGGGGGGGTGGGAGGATGGGGCCGGCTCCGACCCGGGGGGGGGAATCGGGGGGTGGGAGGATGGGGCCGGCTCCGACCCGGGGGGGGATCGGGGGGACGGGGGACGGGGACAGCTCCGACCCGGGGGGGCTGGCCAGGGCGGGGGGTCGCTGACCTTTGAACAGGGGCGCGACGTTCCAGACGTTGATGCTCCCGGCTTTCATGAACTGCCCCAGCGAAATCTCCAGGAAGAAAATGGGGACCCCCCCCAGCACGGCGATGAGCAGGTATGGGATCAGAAAGACACCTGGGGCAGGGGAGAAACAGGGGGTCAACCCCAGCCTGCGGTCCCCTGCCAGCCCAGCCCTGCCCCCCCGCAGCTCTGCCGGTGCCCCTCACTCCCGACCCGCAGCCCCTGCTGGCCCAGCCCTGCCCCCCAGCTCTGCCGGTGCCCCTCACTCCCGACCTGCAGCCCCTGCCATCCCGGCCCTGCCGATGCCCCTCACTCCCATGGGCGGGCGTGAGTCACCCTGGGCATGTCTATTTATAACCTGGCACTCGGCTCCCCGCCCCCGCAGGGGAGCCCCCCCCAGGCCCGGGAAGAGGATGAGCTGTGGCCCGGCTCCCAAGGGGATTAGGCCGGGAGAACTCAGCAGGGATGGGGGTGGGGTCCTGGCTGGGATGAGAAGCCAAACACCTCGGCTTGCATGAAACCCGGCCACTGGCCAGGGCTGGGGAGAAGCCGGGCCAGGCACTGCCCGGGGCCCCCCACGCTGCGTCCCCTTCCCGGGGAAACGGCAGAGCCGCCAGCCGGGGATGGGGTCCGACGGGACGCGGGTCTCCAGCGCGTCCAACTCCCTGCAGCTCGGCCCCTCCACCATCAAACCAGTATCATCCAGCCCCCCCCGCACTGTCTGACCCCCCTCGGACCCCCCCCCAACTCTTAGGTTGAAACCCAGCACTTCCCGCAGCTGCGACAAAGTCGACAGAGTTTGTTTTAAAACGCTGCAAATTCATCGTTTTCCGCACCCGTGGGCCCCGCCCGGGACGTTGGATCCCAGCCACGGTCGCACCGGGGCCCCGGCAGATCGGAGCGAGGGAGAAAATTCACCGGCTGGCCCGTTTGCCAAGGCAGCGGGGCAAGGAATGGGTTTGTCCGGTAGCCGGTGGCGCTGAGAAATCCGGGGGAAATTAATTCTCAGTCGAAAATGCAACCTTTGGACATTTTTGGTGAATGAAAGGGGGGGGGTTGATTCAGGGAGAAAAGGGAAACGTGACAATTCCTGGCAGATCGACAGACGTCGCTGGGGGGTTAAAATGAACCTTCTGTCAAATTGTTCCCAGATTGAAACAAACTGATGTCAAGGCCGGACAGTTTGCAGGGGTGGGGTGGGGGGATTTGGGCTTGAAAATGGCATGTTGTGACCTTTGTGGCAAATAGAAAGATTAAAAACAAAGATCATTTCGGGTGGAAAATGAAACATTTGGGAATTTTTGGACAAATAAAAAGGCCCCGAAATTCCGGTTGGGCCCCTAGGTCAGCGCGGTGAAGTTTGTGGTGGGGCGGGAGTGGGGCGAGAGGCGCGGCTCGCAGGGCCCGGCGAGATCCCAGCCACTGGGCGCCCGGGGAGAACCGCCGGAGCCAGCGGGAGGGGCCCACGCGCCGCGGGCAGCTTCCCCTGCCTGGCCCAGCCTCCCGGACAGCCCCCAGCCTGGTGTGTGACAACAGGCACCAGCGCGTGTGTCACCGTGCGGGAGGGTGACAGGCGGTGAGTCAGTGTCAGCCGGCTAGGCCAGTCAGCACAGCACAGCCGGCTGGGCACCGGTGCTGGACGGGCGAGGGGGGGAGAGACAGACAGACAGACAGACAGCCTGGTGCGTGGGATAGATAGATAGATAGATAGAGGGTGTGTGTGGGGATAGATAGATAGATAGATAGATAGATAGATAGATAGATAGATAGATAGATAGATAGATAGATAGATGGGGTGTCTGAGGGTAGAGAGATAGAGAGATAGATGAGGGGTGTGGGGATACATAGATAGATAGAGGGGGTGGCTGGGGATAGATAGATAGATAGATAGATAGATAGATAGATAGATAGATA